ATAATTATAATTATAATTATAATTATAATTATTATTATTATCTGGCAGGCTGCTGGGGGGGAAAGGATGTTGGAGTAGGGATGGTGGGCTCAATCCATGATGCTCACAGTGAGTATCTGAAACTCACAGCAATGAATGCCCGGCACCCCCAGATGCTTTAGGGAGGGTCTTTGGGAGGCGCTTAGAAGAAGAGATTGGATTTATACCCCGCCCTTCACTACCCAAAGGAGTCTCAGAGTGGCTTACCAACATGCGGCCTGCTCTTCCGTGCTCTGTTTGGAGATCCAGGAATGTGTAGGCAAAGCCTTCCCTGCTAGCTCGCAGCTGTGTTATCATGCTTCACGTCCTTGGGCCGGTTAACCGCTTTCCTCGGCCTGAGAATCTAACGGCCTGGATTCCAACGCACCTTTCTCTTGGCCCGCGCGCGCGAATTGTGCTTATTGGCTGTGGTTGGTGGGGGTCCTATTCAACTGTAGTATAAGTTTCCTTCAGTTCTGTATATCTCCATTACTGACTCAGAGTGTGTCCAGAGTAACTGCAAGATAGTTTTACCAAAATAAACAGTTTCTTCTTATGAAGCCCTGTGTTGCGTGAACTGCTTGTGGGACCTGACACTCGTGTTTCTGCTGAAGGTGACGTGTCCTGTGGCATCATTTCCACACACCCCTCTTTCTCTCCCTCCCCCCAGGCCAGACACAGGTCTCACAGGAGTCTGAAATGTGTTGGCAGCATTTATAACCCCTGAGGCTCGTAGGTGCCTGGTGCTTCTCTTCTGCCTCTCCCAGAATTTAGTATAGAATGTGTTTAAAAATGTGGCGAGTGTACACGGGGCGAGGTTTCACAACTGAGGGAAGGGGGCGTGTGAAGCAGGGAACAAGCAAGGAAACATCCTTCTTTTCTCCTTTGTCTCAGGAACAGGCAGCGAAGAGATGCTGTTGAGCCGTCGTCTTCTCAGAGGTGTGGAAACGGCTGCTGCCCCTCCAGTCCAGGTAGGGGAGATCTGCGGGGGGGACGGACAGCCGAGGTCCCTCCTCGTTTCTTTGGGGGTGGGCTTTTGCTCCTGCAGTTTCTACAAGGTGTCCGGGCGAGAGATCCTCTGAGTACCGTTCCCTTTACCCATCCCAATACATACATCTTGTACCTTCCCAGACTACTCCCTTCCCGTGTGCAGTCTCTGCCTGGCGTGATCTCTGACAAGGCGCAGGGCTCTTTTTGTAGAAAAAGCCCAACAGGAACTCGTTAGTATAATAGGCCACACCCAACAACAGGAACTCAGTAGCATATTGGACCACACCCCTGACAGCACAGCTCATTAGCACATTAGACCACACCCCCATGTTATCAGAAGTGTGGTTATCCAGGCACACCCACCTTTTGCTTGTTATTCTGTTTACCTTGTTGGTTGTCAAAACCCAGGGCTTTTTTGTAGCAGGAACGCCTTTGCATGTTAGGCCACACTCCCCTAATGTAGCCAATCGTAATGAGTTTCTGCTGTTGGGTGTGGCGTATCATGCTAATGAGTACCTGCTGGGCGTGGCCAACTTGGGAGCCAGCCAGAACTCCGTTCCTGTGCAAGGGAATTTGCTTTTTCTTTCAGGGTCTCTTTTCCTTTGAGGAGGTGTTTGTCTATTTCACGGAGGCAGAGTGGGCCCTGCTGGATCCAGGACAAAGAGCTCTGTACCGGGAAGTCATGCTGGAGAACTACGGGAACGTGGCCTTTCTGGGTAAGGATCTTTCATAGGTGCCAAAGGTGTGATTTGCTACCTTTGGGATGAGGCATAAATCAAAATATTGAATAGGGATGTACCATTTGGAGGCCCATCCCCCAGAAGGTCCCAGGTTTGATCCCTGGAATCCCCAATTAAAAGGATCAGGTAGGAGGTGATGTGAAAGACCTCTGCCTGTGATTCTGGAGAGCCACTGCCAGACTGAGTAGACAATACTGACTTCAATGGACCAAGGGTCTGATTCAGTAGAAAGCAGCTTCCTGTGTTGTTCATGTCTGTGTACTTGCCCAGGGGCAACCAACATCTGCTCTGCCTGTGACCTGGAAGGGTTCCTGTCAACCGAAGCCTGGGTCCCCCCCCCCCAGCACCGGGTTCAGTGGGTTCACAAGGAGACTGCACACAAGTAAAGCAGACCCCCTTTAAAACATACCAAGGTTTATTAAGGATTTAAAAATAGGATACAGCTAAACAGCCCCTTTTCTGCAGCTCAGCAACAGAAACAAAAGAAAAGAAAAGCTAACTGTTCTATCTAATACATGAAACACTTGGTATTCAATGGCACGTCCTGTTGCAGCACAAGTATTCCAGCTGTAGCCTTAGTTACGCTACATGAAACTATTCATCGTGATGAAGCAAGAAAATACCAAGGCGTACTAGTTAATGACTGTGCTATGGAGCAGATGGTCATGGAACCTACCAGGGGAGAGGCGATCCTTGATTTGGTCCTAAGTAACACTCAAGACCTGGTGAGAGATGTAAAAGTGATTGCACCGCTTGGGAACAGTGATCATAATGTTGTTGAGTTCAACATTTGTACAAATAGGGAATTGGCCAAAAAGACTCACACAACCACTTTTAACTTTAAAAGGGGTAATTTTTCTGATATGAGGGGACATGTGGGGAGGAAACTGAAGGGAAAAGTAGAAAGGGTCAAAACCATTGGGGAAGCTTGGAAACTGTTTAAAACTACAATTCTAGAAGCTCAAATAAAATATATTCCGCAGGTTAGGAAAGGCACAAACAGGTATAAGAAAAAGCCTACATGGTTAACAAACAAAGTAATGGAAGCTGTAAAAGGTAAAAAGGATTCCTTTAAGCGGTGGAAAGCTAGTCACAGTGAGGCTGATAAAACAGAACACAGGCTATGGCAAATAAAATGCAAGTCTGTGGTCAGGCATGCAAAAAGGGAATATGAGGAGCATATAGCAAAAAATGTAAAGACCAACAATAAAACTTTCTTCAAATACATTAGAAACAGGAAACCAGCCAGGGAGGCAGTGGGGCCCTTGGATGACCAAGGGGTAAAAGGAGTACTGAAGGATGATAGGGAAATGGCTGAGAAGCTAAATGCATTTTTTGCCTCCGTCTTCACTGTGGAAGATGAGAGGTGCTTGCCCACTCCAGAGCCGCTGAGTTCGGGAGGGGTGTTGAAAGACCTGAGTCAGATTGAGGTGACGAGAGAGGAGGTCCTAAAACTGATAAACAACTTAAAAACTGATAAATCACCAGGCCCAGATGGCATACATCCAAGAGTTCTGAAAGAACTCAATTGTGAACTTGTGGATCTCCTGACAAAAATATGTAATCTCTCCTTAAAATCAGCCTCCATTCCTGAGGACTGGAAGGTAGCTAATGTCACTCCCATCTTTAAAAAGGGTTCCAGAGGAGATCCGGGAAATTACAGGCCTGTCAGTCTGACGTCGATACCGGGTAAATTGGTGGAAACCATTATTAAGGAAAGAATTAGTAGGCACATAGATGAACAAAACCTATTGAGGCAGACTCAACATGGGTTCTGTAAGGGAAGATCTTGTCTCACTAACCTGTTAATGTTCTTTGAGGGGGTGAACAAACATGTGGACAAGGGGGATCCAATAGATATTGTTTACCTTGACTTCCAGAAAGCTTTTGATAAAGTTCCTCATCAAAGGCTCCTAAGCAAGCTCAAAAATCATGGGATAAAAGGACAAGTCCTTTTATGGATCAAAAACTGGCTAATTAATAGAAAACAGAGAGTGAGTATAAATGGGCAGTTCTCCCAGTGGAGGGGTGTAAGCAGTGGGGTACCACAGGGATCAGTACTTGGTCCACTGCTTTTTAACTTGTTCATTAATGATTTGGAGTTGGGAGTAAGCAGTGAAGTGGCTAAATTTGCGGATGATACGAAGTTGTTCAGGGTGGTGAAAACCAGTGAGGATTGTGAGGCACTCCAAAGGGATCTGTCAAAGTTGGGCGAGTGGGCGTCAACATGGCAAATGGGGTTCAATGTGGCCAAGTGCAAGGTGATGCACATTGGAGCCAAAAATCCTAACTATAAATACACGTTGATGGGGTCTGAACTGGCAGAGACAGATCAAGAGAGAGATCTTGGAGTTGTAGTAGATAACTCACTGAAAATGTCGAGACAGTGTGTGACTGCAATAAAGAAGGCCAATGCTATGCTGGGGATTATTAGGAAGGGTATTGTAAACAGATCAGCCAATATCATAATGCCGCTATATAAATCAATGGTGCGACCTCATCTGGAATACTGTGTGCAATTCTGGTCACCACACCTTAAAAAGGATATTATAGCTTTGGAAAAAGTGCAGAAAAGAGCAACTCGAATGATAAAAGGGTTGGAACACTTTCCCTATGAGGAACGGTTAAGGCGCTTAGGGCTCTTTAGCTTGGAGAAACGACGACTGAGGGGTGACATGATTGAGGTTTATAAGATTATGCATGGGAAAGAGCAGGTAGAGAAAGAGGTACTTTTCTCCCTTTCTCACAATACAAGAACCCGTGGGCACTCCATGAAATTGCTGAGCGGTCGGGTTAGAACGGATAAAAGGAAGTACTTCTTCACCCAAAGAGTGATTAACACTTGGAATTCACTGCCACAGGAAGTGGTGGCAGCTACAAGCATGGACGGCTTCAAAAGGGAATTAGATAAGCATATGGAGCAGAGGTCCATCAGTGGATATTAGCCACAAGGTATAGATAGGGGCTCTGGGGCAAGTGATGCTCTGTCTTCTTGGTGCTTGGGGGGGGTCAACAGTGGGAGGGCTTCTAATGTCCTGGCCCCACTGGTGGACCTCCTGATGGCACTGGTATTTCTGGCCACTGTGGGATACAGAGTGTTGGACTGGATGGGCCTTTGGCCTGATCCAACATTGGCATCTCTTATGTTCTTATGTTCTTATGTTCTCTAATCTGGGAGAACCAGGTTTGATTCCCCACTTCTTGGTGGGGTAAAGTACCCTTAAATGCTAGATATTTTGGAGAAAGGCGGAGGAGTGGTTAAAGTCAGCCAAACTGGATGAGGCCAAAGGGCCGTCAATCCTTTCCTCCTGCAGTCAGATAATATGCCTTTGGACCTTACCAGCCATCCCAGATGCTAATAAAATCTCTCTATTTATTCCAGCAGAGGATGATCAGAGGAATGAGGAGGGTGAGGAACTTCATCCCCAAAGGCCAGATACAGTTAAAACGGAAGACTTGAAAGAAAAAGTCAGGAATCAACTCAGATCTAATAAAAACAAAGGCAGCAATACAATTGAGAAGAGACATGTAGAAGAGATATGTCACACAGCGTAATGTACATTCTTCAAAGTACACGATAATTAAGGCAAGCAAATCCATTCAGTGTGGAAAGTACTTCACAAATAGGTCAGAGCTCCTTGTGCACCAAAGTATATGTAGAGGCGAGAAACCTTTTGAATGCTCAGAGTGTGGAAAGAGATTCAGGCGGAGTGGCCATCTTCAACTGCACCAAAGAACCCACACAGGGGAGAAACCTTTTGAATGCTCAGAGTGTGGAAAGAGATTCAGGCGGAGTGGCCATCTTCAACTGCACCAAAGAACCCACACAGGGGAGAAACCTTTTGAATGCTCAGAGTGTGGAAAGAGATTCAGGCGGAGTGGCCATCTTCAACTGCACCAAAGAACCCACACAGGGGAGAAACCTTTTGAATGCTCAGAGTGTGGAAAGAGATTCAGGCGGAGTGGCCATCTTCAACTGCACCAAAGAACCCACACAGGGGAGAAACCTTTTGAATGCTCAGAGTGTGGAAAGAGATTCAGGCGGAGTGGCCATCTTCAACTGCACCAAAGAACCCACACAGGGGAGAAACCTTTTGAATGCTCAGAGTGTGGAAAGAGATTCAGGCGGAGTGGCCATCTTCAACTGCACCAAAGAACCCACACAGGGGAGAAACCTTTTGAATGCTCAGAGTGTGGAAAGAGATTCAGGCGGAGTGGCCATCTTCAACTGCACCAAAGAACCCACACAGGGGAGAAACCTTTTGAATGCTCAGAGTGTGGAAAGAGATTCAGGCGGAGTGGCCATCTTCAACTGCACCAAAGAACCCACACAGGGGAGAAACCTTTTGAATGCTCAGAGTGTGGAAAGAGATTCAGGCGGAGTGGCCATCTTCAACTGCACCAAAGAACCCACACAGGGGAGAAACCTTTTGAATGCTCAGAGTGTGGAAAGAGATTCAGGCGGAGTGGCCATCTTCAACTGCACCAAAGAACCCACACAGGGGAGAAACCTTTTGAATGCTCAGAGTGTGGAAAGAGATTCAGGCGGAGTGGCCATCTTCAACTGCACCAAAGAACCCACACAGGGGAGAAACCTTTTGAATGCTCAGAGTGTGGAAAGAGATTCAGGCGGAGTGGCCATCTTCAACTGCACCAAAGAACCCACACAGGGGAGAAACCTTTTGAATGCTCAGAGTGTGGAAAGAGATTCAGGCGGAGTGGCCATCTTCAACTGCACCAAAGAACCCACACAGGGGAGAAACCTTTTGAATGCTCAGAGTGTGGAAAGAGATTCAGTAGGAGTGGCATTCTTCAGAAGCACCAAAGAAGACACACAGGGGAGAAACCTTCTGAATGCTCCGAGTGTGGAAAGAATTTCAGTAAGAGTGGCGATCTACATCAGCATCAAAGGACCCACACAGGAGAGAAACCATTTGAATGCTCAGAGTGTGGGAAGAGATTCAGTATGAGCGGCAGTCTTCAGAAGCACCGAAGAACCCACACAGGGGAGAATCCTTTTGAATGCTCAGTGTTATGTACTGGGATTGAATCATCCCAGACTGGCTGATTTTGGAGCAAAAGAACAGTAGCGGACCAGGACTATGGAATAAACCAATCAAGTAGTAATGTTTTGTAAATAGCCTATCATGGGTAGCGTGTGTGGGGTGTGTGTGATGTTTTGCATGCATATAAGCAGGGGTCCAGCCATGCTAGAGTTGTCTTAAAGTTAAGCTGAAATCACTAATAAACTATGAGCTAATCACTATACATGTCTCAAACCCAGTATATTTCACTGGCGACGAAGGCGGCATCTTGTTGAGCCAGCCGAGTACCCTCCCGCACCGCGCACCGATCTCTAGTGCGAAGTGCATCGTCCAGAGGAGAAGGCGGAAGTTCACAGGCAGACCACTGCGACCTTCAGGCTCTGGGGTCAGGTGGGTCCGGGTGGAGACACCCCACTCTGAGAGGTGGGAGACTGAGCATTTGGTCATGCAGGCTCCAAAGGAAAGGTATGATGGACCACTGCTTTAGCCCTGTTCAAAACCAAAAAGATTAAAGAGTGATTAACACATGGAATTCACTGCCACAGGAAGTGGTGGGTGCTACAAGCATGGACGGCTTCAAAAGGGAATTAGATAAGCATATATATGGAGCAGAGGTCCATCAGTGGCTATTAGCCACAAGGTATAGCTAGGGGCTCTGGGGCAAGTGATGCTCTGTCTTCTTGGTGCTTGGGGGGGGTCAACAGTGGGAGGGCTTCTAATGTCCTGGCCCCACTGCTGGACCTCCTGATGGCACTGGTATTTCTGGCCACTGTGTGACACAGAGTGTTGGACTGGATGGGCCTTTGGCCTGATCCAACATTGGCATCTCTTATTCCACAGGAAGAAGATCAAGATGGGTAGCCATGTTAGTCCGTCTGTAGAAGCAGAAAGAGTAAGGGTCCAGTAGCACCTTAAAGACTCACAAAACCTGTGGTAGGGTAAAGGCTGAATATGGTTATCTGAAGAAGTGAGCGGTGACTCATGAAAGATCACACCTTAATTGAAATTTTGTTAGTCTTTAAGGCGGTACTGGACTCTTACTCTTTTCCACTGCTACAGGGAAGAAAGCAAGGATGGGTGATGGGCTGTGCTGGTCGAAGGATCAGCCGATCTCTCCTTTCGCATCGAGGAGGCCCCCCCAGAGGAGGAACCTCATCGATGCTCAGTGTGTGTGGGGGGGATATCCTTCCTCATTTCCAGAGGATTAGTGCGTGGAAATGGGTATCTGAAGAGATGAATAACATCTCATAATGCCACTGTTAAAAGCAGAGAACACTTTTTTCCTCCAGGCAGTTGGCAGCCCTGGATTAAGTGTCCCTTTACGAATCAGAGAAAACACAACTCCGCTAAGAAAGAGTCACAGGCGGCTCATTAAATCTATTATTGTTTGTATCAGGTGAATTAGACTTTGTGTTTTCTGTCCTTTGTGAGATTTTTTTTAATGAGATGGGCTTCATTAAATGTGTCGAAGGTTAGAGTGGTCTGTCTTTTTTCAGTTGTAAACAAAATTCTTTTTTTAAATAATTATTTATTTTTTAATTAATTATTTTATTAGATTTTATGAGCCTATATTGTACACTTAAACAAAATTATCAGCAAGTACAAATACTTCCACATCTTATATCACACTTATTTTCTCTACAACACAAATTAATATTCCATCATTCTTTCAATAATTAGCTTTTCTTATTTAACAATTCAAATCCAGTTTGTGTTGACTAAACCTCTATTTTCCTATCACCTTTTGAGGTTACGTAAGTGCTAATACAATACTTAAAGTTCTTTGTCCACCACTCTAGCAAAATTCTAAATAGGAAATCCTCTTTCATATGCTTGAAGAAAAAGAAGAGGAAGAGATTGGATTTATACCCTGCCCTTCACTCGGAGTCTCAGAGCGGCTTACACACTCCTTTCCCTTCCCCGCCCCACAGCTAGGGATGTGCATTCAGTTCTGGCAGCCCCGCTGCTGTCGGGGAGCACGAGGGTCGAGGGGAAACAGGGCACCGTGCTGAGGATAAGGGGAACGTGCCCTCAGAAGGGACCTCTTCTTCAGCTGGTGAGCGGGTATCCTTTCGCACCAAGGAACCATCCCTAGGGAGGGAGGGGGGCTCTTGGTAGTTGGTGCTTCAATCCTTAGGCAGGTAGACAGCTGGGTGGCAAACCCGCGTAGTGACAGTATGGTGACTTGCCTGCCTGTTGCGAAGATAGCGGACATTACGCGTGTTCCAGATAGGCTGGTGGATAGTGCTGGGGAGGAGCCAGTGGTCGTGGTGCATGTCGGCACCAACGATGTGGGGAAATGCAGTCGTGAGGTCCTGGAGGAGAAATTTAGGCTGCTGGACAGGAAACTCAAGGCCAGGACCTCCAAGGTAGTCTTCTGTCAGGGTCGTTAGTCAGGTCACACCACACAGGGCTTCATAAGAAGATAAGTGTTTATTGGTAGATCCAGTACTAATGATCACGTATACAGTTGTGTCAAGAATGGCCGGTAATACAAGGGCCTCAGACATAGGTAAATTAAACATCCCCCCCCCCTCAAAAGCCAATGATTACACTTCACGCACGCGGTTAAAGCAGGCAAGCGGCTAAAGCCGTTAAAAATTCCCAGCTAAGGGAAAGCAGCTGGCCACTACAAGGTCAAGCATCAAGATAGCGCTGGATAGGGTACAGCTGAGAACCCCCTCCACATTCCAGTCCCATGACAGGGCTACCTGACATCCTGCCCCTCCCAATGACCCCTCCTTAGGTTTCTCCGAAAAGAAGCATTTTGGAAGGCAGGGGGCGGCGGAGACATGTTCCTCCGCCACCCATTCCCTGTGCTGCAGGCCAAAGTCTGCCCATTCTATCAAATAGAACAGTTTATTTCGCTTCTGCTTCGAGTCCAAAATGTCAGCAACTTCACGGCGCTTTTCGCCTTGCACGATTAGGGGTGGGGGGCAGGGTTGTTGCGGTCGCCACACCTTTGGTCTGGGATCATGGTGGATAAGGCGTTTTTGGTGCCTCAGGGGTCTGGACCTGCCGCTCTGCGCCACTCACTGCAGGTCCTGCACATTTCCCGCCGACTGATTCTCATCTTCACTTGATGAGTCAGGGTCCCCTTCAGGGACACTCGCTTGCAGGGCCCTTTGGCCGAGATGCGGTCTTCTCCTTCGAGGGTGTAGCTGCCCTCCTTTCCTCAGGAGCCTTCGTTGCCGATCCTCAAGAGCCCACGCCTGGGCAAGAGGCTGCGAAGCAGCCCACCAAACCGCATTTCAGGCAGACCTCGTTTCATTCGTTGGTCACGGACCCCTCCCTTCTTTGGTGGAGGGGTCTTAGGTTTGGGGGATCCTAAGTGCCCGTTGTCTCTGAGATCGAAACTCTGGTTACTGAGCTGACCGCGAGTGCAGAGCAACCACGTGCGCGGTCTAAGTCGGTACACAACAAGTGTAGTGGCACCTTTACGGCCAGCAAAGTTTTATTCTGAGTATAAGCTTTTGTGTGCAGATACACTGAGTATAAGCTTCAGATACACTGAAACAGAATTCACCAACCATTACATATAGGAAGAGGAGTGGGAAGCACTATTCCCTCTAAGCTGAGTTAGTGTGAGCTAGCTCACAGTTTTTAAGCCTCCGGCTCACACTTTTTTGTCTTAGCTCAGGAAACATGGCTCCAGAGCAAGCTAATTTATGCAGCAGGCAAATCGCTCACTCACAACTTTAATGCCAGTAGCTCACAAAGTAGAATTTTTGCTCACAGGACTCCACAGCTTAGAGGAGACATTGGTGGGAAGGGTATTGCCAGGAAAGGCTAATTAGAGTCAAGAGGCACAACTAAGTAATTAAGCAACAAAAAAAGCTAAAATTAGATTAAGACAAATGCTAAAACCTGTGAAGAGCAGGAAATGAGCATACTGCGTAATGTAAGAGTTTACAAACTGATGTGAGAACTGAATGCCCTTAGCCTGTGCAGTGAGAGAAGAACCCAATAGCTCTGTTAAGCCCGGGGAGTTCCATTATCCTGGGTGTCATAAGAACATAAGAGACGCCAATGTTGGATCAGGCCAGAGGCCCATCCAGTCCAACACTCTGTGTCACACAGTGGCCAGAAATACCAGTGCCATCAGGAGGTCCACCAGTGGGGCCAGGACATTATATTCTTATGTTCTTAAGAACCCAATAGCTCTGTTAAACCCAGGGAGTTCCATTATCCTGGGTGTTGTAATAACTTGTTAACTCAGCAATCTCCCATTCTAGTTTTCTGAAATTTCTTTGCAATAAAACAGCTACTTTGGGGTCTCCCACTGAATGCCCTGTAAGCGTGAAGTGTTCTCCTACAGGTTTCTTTGTTATATGATTCTTGATATCAGATTTGTATCCAATTATTCTTTGGCATAGGGTTTCACTTTTTTGCCCTATGTAGAGAACTGAAGGGCACTGTTGACATTTCGTGGCATAAAATCATAGGCTTATAGAGTTGGAAGGGACATCTAGTCCAACCCCCCGTGCAATGCCGGAAATTCACAAATACCCCCCCACGCCCCCAGTGACCACTGTTACATACCCAGAAGATGAGGAGAAAACCTCACTGGCCCCCCTGGTGGACCTATGGTGGACCTCCTGATGGCACTGGTATTTCTGGCCACTGTGTGACACAGAGTGTTGGACTGGATGGGCCTTTGGCCTGATCCAACATTGGCGTGTCTCTTATGTTCTAAACCTACAGGGTCTCCATGCAAACCAGCATGGAGAAAAAACTCCTTTAATTTCAACCCGTTGGTTCTGGTCCGACCTTCTGGGGCAACAGAAAATAACTCCCATCCATCCATCCATCCCCCCCCTCTCTATATATGAAATTTTATTGATTTCACAGATAAAGATTAAAGGATGAAAAGAATAAGAACGGAATAGAACAGAAGATACAGAAAACTGGGGTCTGTACTGTCGTTACATTTTAGTTCACATATATCTTAAGAATCAAATTCATTTTAAGCCCTACATACCATCCCATGGGCTTTCTCTGCTGCCCTTCCTTGACCTAGCAGACCCCCTGCCACTGGAGTAGTGATC